ACATGTTCTCCGAATGTCGTCCCAGAGAATTCCACGTCGTGCATTATTTGCCGACTCTGGGACTGGTTGGAAGAAGCGGAGAGGTGGTCAGTGCATGACATGGTGTCGTGGCATGAAAGAAAGCTGCAAAGGACTGGCTTGTGTTGGTCCTTCACGACTCCCTGGTTGGGGTCCGAGAGATGGTGCAACACAGTGGCTAGAGACGTTATCAGATATGGCTCAGAATAGAAGCCAGTGGCGATCCTGCTGTAACCTTCTTTTACTTTCTTCATAAAAAGTGGTTGTGTCACCTTTAACTGAAAGATTTCTTCTGATTGTACCTTTCCGTTCCCTCATTATTACTAAACTACCTTACACCAATCTCTTCGTCATTGTTCTCTTTTTCTTTTGCGTTCCTTAGTTTCTTTTCTTTCTTCTTTCTACTTCTCTTCGAATTCCCATTGTTTTGTGTGGCGCATATATATTGGCGCTCTATTGTACCAATATTTATGTTCAAATGAATAAATAAATAAATAAATACGGTTATGACGGATGTTGAGTCAACGTGTCAGAGTACGACAGAGATCTGTGACGTCATTTTGTATCTTTTGATGTTTTTCTTTGACTGGGTACACGTCGGCGCTGGAATTACCGGTGACTTCAAGAATCCAGTCGGCGGATGCAGCCAGTTCGTCTACTGCGGTACTTTAAGATTAGACAAGTACCGCCTGCACCTGTCGGAGAAGCCTAGGCAAGAAGTGCTGTTTAACACAGGCCCGTTGACCAACGACCTCTCCCACTCATAGTAATGTTTCTGTTGCTAATCCATGTTGCAGTTCGATGTTGTTGAAGAGTTGGTCTTGCCTTCGTCGTTCGGTTAGATCTTCACATTTAAAGATAGCTTTTTTAAAAGTTTCGTAAGGTTCCGCGACATCACCAACAAACATACTAAATGTGAAGTACCTGTTGAAAACGCGTGATACTGTTGTCACCACTGTGAGGAATTGTGAACGGGGGTCTGTTTACTGAAGTCAGCTTCTGTGTAGCAGGACCAAGACCCGTATTATCGGACCAGTCGGCAGTCGCTGATATGAGGGAGGCAAAAACGTCTTTGTCTTAAGCAGCTTAGGCGTCTGTTCTGCAGTGATGAAGAAGAATATTCGAGAACGATATCACAATATCTAAAAATAAAAAAATGATATATAATTTTCCGACTTGGGAAGGACTCACAGTTTGCGAACTGGTGTACCAAATCACATCGGGCTCGAAAATATCAGAAGTATTCGGAGTTTGACAATACATTTGACAGTAGCACCTTTTAAATAGGGATATGCCATCCCAGTCATCTCAGAAGTGAAGAGGTTCAAAGTTATATGTGAAAGGCAATAGATATCTCTAGAAGCGTTTTATCTAAGCTGGCTAACTGTTGTAGGAGATGCGTAGCATGGCGTAACTCCTAATGATATGGTGCGGATGCGTTGTCGAGCGCCTTCACTAGATGTATCCATTAAAACTAATGTGGCCTCTGCAATATCATATATCGGTCAATTGGGCATTGTTATTCACACCATAAACTTCAGCAGTTACCTCTGACGGTAAAAATCAGTTCAGAAAAATAGTTCGAGGTTCGTAAGGGGATTTTTCAATAATTGAACTGAATTTCAGCTTACGCAAAACAGGTTAGGTGATGAACATCTGAAGTTAGCTCAAAAAGTTCACGGCATCAACTTTTGTTGAGTTGTTTTGCATGACATTCTTAAACTTTGGATTTATATATTTTTTTCAATGAAATCCATGACGTAACTCAAGAAGGGAAATATCAAATTGATGATAAAACAACTATAAAATTCTGTGAAACTGGATTCATCGGAGTTTGAAAGGATAGCCTGTGGGCAGATTTGAAAGTTCGTTAAAAAATATTTATGGTACAACACGGATAAGACGGTAATGTTTGCATGTAAAGAAATATACAGTAATGAATAAAAATAATAACGCTGAAATTAAAAATGTTACTGTTGAGAATTACTGTTACCAACCGGTTGGAAACCGGGTTCACCCAGCAAATTAGGATTCTATTGTTTGCTTGGCATAAAATTGTATGACGAAATGTTCATATTCCACCGTCTTAGGATACGAAAAGTCTATAATCTCAAAAATTGAATAGTGAGATGAAAATAAACGCAAATTGTTAAAATATGTATTCAGTACCGTGACTAACAAAGTGGAAATAAATAGTAATGAGACGACAAGGTATAGTATTCTAATTGTCGTATGAATTAGGAATTCCAGGATTAACGCAATTGAATTAAGAAGACACAAGCACAACGAATGTACTGTATTTAGAATTCGAAATCAAACATTCAACCAGTACAAAGGTATCATTAGTCCATTCAAACACCACATCCGCCACAGCTTAAATAGAAGTATAAGTGTTTGCAATCGGTTGTACGTCTTCTTGTTAAGTTCATCCTGAGTCTGTCCGACATTGTGTAAGTTAAAAACTTTGTAGTATCTAGAAAGTGCTGATTAGTATTGGAATTAACAAACGAAATCGGAACAGACTCACCTGGAATTGTATACAACCAGCATGTCGGTTTTGTAATAAAATCATTAATATTTAGAATTCGAACCATAGATTTTTCAACACTATCCTCCCCCACGAAATAATGTTGGATCTTTATATCCCCAGGTTATGAATAATGTGGCTTCATTTAAAACATATTTCTCACATTGTTTAGAGTAAACATCAGAACTGTTTTTGTGATAAGGGTAAACAGCAGTTGATATGAAATCATCCGAAATGTAATCAAACTCGAGAACACTTAGTACTCGTGCTTCGCATTGAGCAGGTTTTTCACAAGGATCGAATGCATTATGAGGAGAGGTAATATATGATATGACATCAGGATTTGATTCTTCTGAAATATTCTCATGAAATTCATTAGGACTGTCAGTGCAGAGCGTAGGATCGTTAGAAAAACCAGCATCTATCCAAACCACATCAGGTTTCCGATCATGATTAGGGTCATTTAACATATTTTCCTCAATATTGCAAGTAATTTCATTAGAAATATGTGAATCATTAGGAAAAGTCATACCTGGTACAATAGCATGAGAATTCTGATAAATTGGTTGATTAGGAACTGTTGTCTCACAAGAATTCTGGATTTCATCTAACTCTGAACTGTCATATGACTCTGCACTGTCTTTTGAAATCGTTGATAAAGATAAATGAACACTAGAAACATCCGAATTATTTAAATTTAAATTACAAGATTTAGTACAGCTTGAAGCAAAATGGACAATAGCTTTGCATACTGACTGAATGTGTCCTACCTTACCACATTTAAAACATTCAGCATTAAGAAATACACATGGATTGCGAGCATGAAACTTGAGGTGGCTCGTTGATCTGACTCCAAGATCGTATGATTGTTATCACCTATTCTCGTATATCATCGTCGACTTAGATCGCGTTATCCAATAACGGAATTAAATAAGTCGAATAACGAGAATTGATTTGTGAATACATATATTTTGCATATGAAGTGAATGAAACAGAGCAAAGCAAACTGACACGCAGGGAAGATGGCTGGGAAGCCAACTCCATTTTAGTCAAGCGTTACTCAATATTTATAGGCAGACAAAATAAACTACAGACATGTGATTAATGGGATAAGAAGGGCACACACATATACGCTCATATAAAAACAGTCTAGATTGATAAGCGAATTAATAACAAGGTCAATGTATGGCTCAAGTAAAATGAATAGAATGGGATGTCCGAAAGTTCGAATAAGGTATATGGGCTTGGCATGATAACTGACACTACAAACTTTCCACATGATAAACATTTACCAAACTTCATCTCACCTTTGTGATTTGCTTTGTGATTCGTCGTTGAAACACCTTTCATATTTACACGAGAATAGGAATCACTGTTAAATGAACGCAAATTTGATTGACCCTGAGATTGTAATTCATCATGACGACTAAGCAAAGTATCAGAAATCTTCATCGACTGGATATCAAGTTCATTCACTGCTTCGTAGTTATTACACGCAGTCCTAGCATCTTGAAAGGAACAGTTTGGCATTTTTAACAGCTCTCTTTCCAAACTCGGTATGTTAATTCCTGCAATTAATCGATCTCTTAGTTGCACATGAAGTTGATTACCGAAATTACACTTGGCAGCTTGTTTCTGTAATTCAAGGATGAATTCCCGAGCCTTTTGGTCATTTCGAGGAACCATCTTATGAAACTTCGCCCTTTCACGGCATTCAAAACTGGTGCATTTTACATGACTTAACAATAGCTCTTTAAGAGTTGCATAAGGGAGTGAGATAGGTTTTTCTGGATATGCCAAAGTTTTTTATAAGCTGTACGCTTCTCTCCCAATGAATGTCAGAAAATGTGCCACAATTTTCTCACCTTTAACATCTTTCTTGGTCATGCTCCAAATTTCGAACCTTTCCAAATAATCCTCAATATTTCAGGAGTTGAATGAATATCCAACTTTTCCATTGCAGGTTCCATCACGACGCTAATATAGTATTCTAATTGTCGTATGAATTAGGAATTCCAGGATTAACGCAATTGAATTAGGAAGACACAGGCACAACGAATGTACTGTTTTTAGAATTCGAAATCAAACATTCAACCAGTACAAAGGTATCATTAGTCCATTCAAACACCACACAAGGTTTTTAACACGATGATCCAGGGACGTGTAGTTGACGTGATAATGGATGTATAATGCATAACTGATACACAAGGAAAACGTATTGTAATTATATGTGCAGCGTCTCTGGAGAGATATACGACTCATTTTTGTTATTATGACTATAAAAATTATGTAATTTTCCTGTGGCCATATACAGGATTGACCCATCGGTCTGTAGTGACAACAACAATGGATCGTGACCTTTTATTATCCAAACAATCGTTTTGAGCTATTTGAGTGTACATGAGATTAAAATACAATGTAATGGGATTTTGTTTAACTACGTGTCTTATTTTTTAGAGCGCTCTGTTTGCAACTGGTCTGGTCGTAATGCTGATTGCCAGAAAATGACTAGTACTGGTGTGTTTCATTTGGATATGCCGGAAGCTCCAAGTTATGACGACAGTGAAGAAAATTCTCATGATTATTGCTCGACACATGGAGGGGTAGAGGTAAGGTGTTTGATTTTAAAACTAGTGTTATAGGATGAGTTTCTTGAACGTGGCCCACTTAAACCAGATGAGTAAGCTTAAAGGATTCCCTGTTCAATTAATCTGTAGACTCGATGAGAACATTAAAACGGTTGAAATTTGCGAAGAAACAGTGAATCCTGGTCAACCTAAAGTCAGGCCACACGACTTTCAACTTCTGAAAGTCCTTGGGAAAGGTGGTTATGGAAAAGTATAACTTTGGCATTTTTTTACAATATATATGTATAGGTTTTCCTTGCACGCAAAAACGATACTGGTCAAACCTATGCGATGAAAGTTTTAAAGAAAGCCTCGATTGTGACGAACGCCAAGGATACTGCACACACTAAAAGCGAGAGAAATATACTCGAAATGATTAAAGTACGTCATCAATGTCATATTTATTGTGAAGCATCCATTTCTAGTTCAATTGCATTTTGCTTTCCAATCCCCTGGAAAGCTTTACCTAGTCTTGGAATTTCTAGCTGGAGGTGAGCTGTTCATGCAACTTGAGAAAGAGGGAGTGTTTATGGAAGATCAAGCCAGGTAAGTTTGCTTATACATCCTATTGAATTCGTCTCAGTATATAAGCGCTACTTAATAACTTAAGTTTTGTTGTTTGTAGTCTTTGTTCTAAAAGTGACCGAAATAGTTCTTTTGATTAGTAGTATTCGTTTATTTGACTTAGTGTTGGCCTCAAGCTTAATGAAACAGCAACTCAGTTTATTTTGCAGCAGGAAATCCCAAGAAAAGTTGTTACAGAGTGCTCAAGGAGGCATTTGGGTGTCTATAAGACATAAGTTTCTGTGAATCTTAGTTTCGTCAAAGTAACACGGCTAATAAAAGTATCGAGAATTGTCCTTTGTACACTTTATCAAATTCAAACTAGTTAGTTAAAAACTACATCATCCACTTATCAACATCTGAAATATCTAGTTCTTATTGCTTCATGTGTTTGTGTATTTCGGAGATTTTTCAGAATATGGTACCCGAGTTTTGACTACTGATCTACTATGTTTTCATTCGCGTCAACAGGTTTTTTAACATCATGTTATTATTTTCACCAATCATAGTATGTTTATATTTAAGTGCGTAAGATAAAATTAACTTCGGTCAGTGCTTTCTACTTCCGAGTGACTTCAATAAAATGTTTTATTACTCAGCACATCCGGATTGCAAACAATCTAGTTTTATGTTAGAAAATCCTAATCAAGGTCTTTGTGCCCAAAGTTAATCGAGATTATCGAAATACCCATATGGAATATCATGAATCAACCAAAGTTGAACGCAAGCATCATTAGTTAGTACCTAGCGTTTTACGGGCTAAGCATTCGCCAGAGATCAAAGGTTCTACTTTCCGTTGTCGTATGTTCGTGGACGCACGCAGCTGAAAAGTTCAATGCTTCCTGATTTTCAGTAGGTATCTAATTTAAGTTGGTTCGTAAGATGAATAACTCGATTTGACGAACGATTTTTAGAAGTTGCAGTTTATTGTGAGATGGGAATACTGAGATATCTTGGCTTTTACGAATTGTTCGCACACGACTGTGAGCTTAAGTGAACTGTCGTTTCGTTTAATTTAGGGCGCGAAATCAGGCAAATAAGGTTTGTCACTTTACATGCCACCTAAAATTTTTAATTCTAAACCTCAAGCCAAATATTTAAAAAATAAAACATTTCCAGCACTTATCATTTTATTTGGTAAATGACTTTAGAAATGGTGCAATGAAATAATTTGGATTGGTTTTTTTCCTTCTGTTTCCCTCAGCTTTTATTTGGCGGAAATAACTCTTGCCATTGGTCATCTTCATTCGATGGGGATTGTTTATCGAGATTTGAAACCCGAAAATGTACTTTTAGACCATCAAGGTCATGTTAAACTAACGGATTTTGGATTGTCTAAAGAGAGAGTCGATCGTGATAATTTAACTCACACATTCTGCGGGACTATTGAGTACATGTAAGTACTAAGTAATTTTGGAATGTATCGGAATATTGTTTATGACAAGTAAAGCTGGAAAAGTGTAACCCTGGTTATTTGGTCAGTTGTACAAGTCAACCCAATTTTTAGGTTTTCATGAACTGGCTTCAGCTGATAAGCCACTTAGCTTTGAGGAGCACTAAACAGCTTTTCTCTTAGCAAACCTCACCTACTTCAAAGCTTCACGACAAGCACACTTTTCCGACCATTGATTCAGGGTTCATTGTTACTCATTTTCGTTTCTGTCTAATTTGCAGTATTACAAAGGGGTTTATAAGGGAATTTTATGTATGGTAGTGGGAAGACGACAGATACTAGTAAATGCTTTCTTTGCTGTAAGTAAATCGGGTTTATTGAAATCAAATAATTCCGTCTTCGACTTCATTGTGAAGCAGCTGTTTCAGTACATCGCTATTGTTTAATTTTTCTAATCAAACAAACTTTAATGTTCTGGAAGTGTTTTTATTCGCGATCTCGTTCACGTAATCGAAGATACAAAGATTTGTTGTCAAGGCATACAACTTCTCGTTTTCTTTCTCTAGTAGCGTATGGACTTTAAATTGCGTTATCACTCACTATTCATTCTCGTCTGTTTAGTGGTCTTTTTGAGATATTAATATCAATTTTGTGTTCATTTTATAGGGCTCCCGAAATATTGTTACGTCAAGGACACGGGAGAGCCGTTGATTGGTGGAGTCTTGGCACGCTTATGTATGATATGCTTTCGGGATCTGTAAGTTCTTCACTTAATTGTATATCCGATTGATTATTTTTACGTGGAAATTGATTCATATTATTCTCACTTTCAGCCTCCATTTACAGGCGATGATAGAAGACAAACTATTGACTTGGTAAGCAATCTTGATTTTTTTAAACTTAGGGGAAATACATTTGTTTTGATAAGTTTGTAAACGACTGACTTCCGTTAGTACCTAGCAAAAGTGTGAAACACCTCAATATCAACTATCAAAAAGAAAAAGAAAATATTTTGGACATTGAATTGTGGGAATATAGGGAATTTTGAATATCTCCAGTATTTATTTATTTATTTGCCCTGGTACGGCCGAGAGTGGGGAGAGTCCGCTCTCCCTCTCAAAATGCTCTCACATGGCCACGCGTATATAGCCTCTGCCAGGGAAGTCCTACTCACTGCCTTCTCGTGGCAGGGGTGTTGTTTACGAAAATGAGAGGACGAAAAGCGAATGTCCGGCGCTTTAACTGGATTCCAAACCAATGGCGCACATGGGCTGGCTCCAGTATCCTGCGGGAACAAATGGCGTATGAACCAATCGTTGGTCACCAGCTTCCATGGGACTGCATCTTTTTACGATGCTCCACTGCCTTGTGGATCAGTCCTTCAGGTCGAAGGCTCGGCGTGTGGCTCCCTAAGAAAACCACCTGCTTCGTTTTGAGCATCCGGGCAGTATCACAGCCCTCACACATACCGAATGAGATTTGTGTGGCGCATATGTATTTGGTGCCTTCTTGTACCAATATCTATGTGTTAAATAAATTAATATTGGTACAAGAGTGCGGCAAATATATATGTCCCACACAAAACAATGAGAATTTAAAGAGAAGGACAAAGAAAAAAAGTAAGGAGGGTAAAAAAGGACAATAACGTAGAGATTGGTGTAAGGTAGTTTAGTAATAATGAGGGAACGGAAAGGTACAATCAGAAGAAATCTTTCAGTTAAAGGTGACACAACCACTTTTTATGAAGAAAGTAAAAGAAGGTTACAGCAGGATCGCCACTGGCTTCTATTCTGAGCCATATCTGATAACGTCTCTAGCCACTGTGTTGCACCATCTCTCGGACCCCAACCAGGGAGTCGTGAAGGACCAACACAAGCCAGTCCTTTGCAGCTTTCTTTCATGCCACGACACCATGTCATGCACTGACCACCTCTCCGCTTCTTCCAACCAGTCCCAGAGTCGGCAAATAATGCACGACGTGGAATTCTCTGGGACGACATTCGGAGAACATGTCCAAGCCACCGAAGTCGGTGTTTCAAGATGGTGACACCAATTGAGTTATCATCTCTGTGCCCGAACACACGATGCCGAACCTCTACATTACTGACATGGTGTTGCCACTGAATGTCAGCAATCCTTCGGAGACAATGATGATCGAACACAGAGAGTCGTCTAACGTCCTCAACTCGGAGAGGCCAGGTTTCACAAGCATAGAGCAAAACTGCTCTCACCGACTCGTAGATCCGACCTTTTACAGCCAGACTAACATCACGAAGGCGCCAAAGGTGGCCCAGATTAGCATAAGCCGCTCTGGCTTTCACTATTCGTGCATTGATCTCATCACTCACACCCCCACCAGCACTTATGCAGCTACCCAGATACACGAACTTCTCGACTACTTCTATCTGCTCACCATCCAGGGTGAGTACAGGATTAGAATCCTGCCAGTCTTGTAGAAGTACTTTGCACTTCGAAGGTGCAAAGCACATACCATACCTACGGACACTGATTGCCAACTGATTAAGTGCGGATTGCATGCCTTGGGTATTATCGCACAGTAAGACAATATCGTCTGCATACTCAAGGTCGAGAAGTCTTTCTCCAGGCAACAGATCCACACCACCATTACTTACATTCATCAGAGCTGTTTCCAGAATGTCATCGATGGCAAAGTTGAAGAGGAATGGTGAGATTGGGCAACCCTGCCTAACCCCACTGCTCGAATGGAACAATGGAGAGAGGTGGTTGTATGCCCTCACTCTGCCTGGGGTGTTTTTATATAGGGCTTTCAGGATGTTAATAAACTTCTCAGGCACACCCTTCTTCAATAGACAATCCCAGAGAACAGTCCTACCCAACGAGTCGAAGGCAGCCCTAATGTCAAGAAATACTGCGATTGTTGGCCTTTGATAAGTATGACGGTGTTCTAACATTTGGGGGAGGGTGAAGATATGATCAATACATCCTCGACCAGCTTGGACGCAATCGGAAATAGACTTATCCCCCGATAGTTGTTACAGGAACGACGTGAACCGTTTTTAAAGATAGGGACAACTATCGACTCATTCCATGACGTTGATACACTCTCTAGCTCCCACACCTTTGTAAACAACGTCGTCAGTTCCTTAGTCAGAAAGTCACCACCATCTTTAAAAAGAGCCGGAGGTAAGTCATCTGGGCCAGGTGATTTGCAGCGCTTCAAGAGTTGGAGTTCCTTGCGGACTTCCGCCTCATTTGGTGTGTCAGTCGTCACCGGCCATGGAGAGCAGGACAGTCTGACCGATGTTGCCGGAGCAGCAGGCCAGTTGAACTGCCCTTCGAAAAATTCTGCCCATCGTCCAAGACGTCGATGGATGTTAGTGATTGGCATCCCGTCATCCTCACAGATTGTTTCGCTCACACCAGACTTCTTGCTGCCAGTGGTTCGAATGAGTTGGAAGAGCTTCCGGTAATTACCAGATGCAGCTGCTGCTTCCAGCTTATTAGCACGCTCCGACCACCAGGTTTCTCGGTCCGTACGCAAGCTATGCCCAATTTCGCTACCTAACAACCTTCGTTTGTGGTCAAACTCACGGTCACCCGGAGTAGACCGACGGGCTTCAATGAGTTGTAAGGAACCTGAAGAAACCCAGTGCTTATAAACGGGACGTTTCGCAAACCCACAACTGAGTGTACCCGCCATTTTCATGGTGTCATGCAATTGCAACCAATGCTCATCCATACTTTTCGATGTAATGGTAGCTAGCCTAGCAGCTAGCTCGGTTCGATACTTACTAGCAACAGAAGTTGCAACCAGCTTGCTAACATCAATTCTTTGGTGGCGGTCACTTCGTTGGCCACTGAAAAGTAAGGTAAGACTGGCGCAGACCAAGGCGTGGTCACAGTCCAGATAGGTACTCCAAAAGGAGAGGCAGTCTTGTACACAACCACGCCAGCGGTAGCTGATCGCGATGTGATCAATCTGAGTCCAGGCTTGAGATGCAGAGGGAGGACGCCAGGTGGCACATCGGCGATGACTGTGCCGGAAGTTTGTGCTAGCCAGAAACAGATTGTGGTCTGTGCACAGTTGCAGTAGAAGGTCCCCGTTATCTGACCTGCAACCAACAAGTCCCCATCGGCCACCTAAACGACTCTCTTCTGTGCCTAGACGCCCGACCTAAGCATTCAAGTCTCCGGCTAGTACTACAATATCTATCGAACGCACTTTCTGGAGAAGAACGGATAACTGGTGGTGAAACTCATCCTTGATTGCATCCGGGCTGTAATCTGTCGGAGCATAGGCGGAGATGACGAAAAGACATCGTTTCTCACACCGATTTCTTCTCACTTTGATGGAACTCTCTAATCTAACAGCACATAACCGACTGTTAATGGGGATCCAATCGACTAGTGCTGCCTCAGCTCTAGCGCTTAGTGCGACACCAACGCCTGCAAGACCAGAAGAAGATGCCACGGTCCCCGAATAAGCGCACGTAAAACAAGCCTTTTGAAGCGAGAGATGGAGAGCGAATTTGTAGTACTTCACCAGAGTCTTGAATACGGGTCTCGGCTAGACAGCAAACATCGATATTAAGACTTTCCAAAGACATAGCCAGCCCTATCTGTTGTCCAACCTAAATAAGTGTGAGAACGTTGAAGTCAGCCAGTTTGAATGGTTCACGTGGTTTCAGAAAAACTGCTTCAGTACTCATATTCGGTGGTAACATACAATTTTCGACCGGACAGTGACTCGAGAACGTTTAGATACAGTCGAATTTCCACCATAAACGGGCTGCTCTGTAAGTCGAAGAATAAGTATCAACAGAGCGGGAATAAAAGAGGGTGAATAATGACGTAGTAAAAAAATAATAATAATAATGCGAGTCACTTGATTGTTATTCAGAGCGAGAGGAATGTTTTTCATAAGTAGATAGTTTATCATGTTTTTGTGTGCGGGATGAGATACTGCCCGGGTGCCCAAACCGAAGCAGGTGGTTTTCTTAGGGAGCCACACGCCGAGCCTTCGACCTAAAGGTCTAACACACAAGGCAGTGGAGCATCGTAGGGAGATGCAGTCCTATGGTAGCCGGTGACCAAGGAATTGGTTCATACGCCATTTGTTCCCGCAGGATACTGGAGCCAGCCCATGTGCGCCATTGGTTTGGAATTCGGCTAAAGCGCCGGACATTCGCTTTTCGTCCTCTCATTTTCGTAAACAACACCCCTGCCACGAGAAGGCAGTGAGTAGGACTTCCCTGGAAGAGGCTATATACGCGTGGCCATGTGAGAGTATTTCGAGAGGGAGGGCGAACCCACCCCGCTCTCGGCCAAACCAGGGCATTTGGGGGCACTTGTTAGAAAGAGAAAATTCCTCGTGTTTTTAATCCAATCCATTTTCAAGATCTAGCGTTTTAATTTCACTCACGAAACAAGATAAACCCACTTAAATGATCAGTAGCAAAATCAATTGCATCGCCCATGTCTTTTCCTGAAACTGGTGCGGATATGGAAAGCTTGATTGACATAAGAACCGTTTAATATGTGATACTTGTGCAGGTTGGAAATGTTTTGTAAACTGTTCAATGTTTTTAAACTAAATATTGTAATAAGATTCTAAAGTTGAATGAACCCTGTTTTGTGGTGTAATGAAGAATTTGTGTTCGTCAACAAGGTAGATCTATAAGCTAGTCGTTTAATGCAATTTTACTTTGTTTTAGATATTACGAGGTGATTTCATACCTGTACCTTATTTAAGTCGGGAAGCCGTATCACTTATTTCCAAGGTAAGTTGTGTAATTCGACTTACGCATAATTAGTTACGCTAACCATGTTCTTGAATAACCTGTAACTGTCTCTAAAATGTGAAGTTTGACATTTTAGTTTCGATACTTCCTAGAATACGGTCGTTAGCAAATTAGTAAAGGTCGGGCGTCGCAAACCGTAGTACAATATTTCACACTTGTATCCGTCTATCAACCAAAGGACGTGTTTACTGCGCACCAGTTCGTTCCGTCCTACTTTATGGCAGTGAAACATGGCCGGCAAGAGTAGAGGATATCCGTAGGTTACTAGTATTTGATCATAGGTGTCTTCGAAATATTGCTCGTATATCCTGGGACCATCGAGTAAGTAATGCAGTTGTTAAGAAACAGGTACTAGGTAAGGATGGCAAATCAATTGATGACGTAGTGAAACTTCATCAGTTGAGATGGCTGGGACATGTGTTACGTATGCATAACAACCGACTGCCCCGACGAGCGATGTTTTGTTGTATAGGAGTAGATTGGAAGAAAGCTAGGGGCGGCCAGACCAAAACATGGCACAAATCCACGAAGTCACTGACAAGTAGACTGAGTCATATTGGCAGGTGTAGGCTACCTGGTTGGGGACCGCGAGATGATAGCAACCGATGGTTAGACACCCTGAATGACATAGCTCAAAATTGTTTGCAATGGCGCAGGTGCATCCACTCTGTGTTCTCCCAAATTCTAATCTTCTGAATTCTTCATGTCCCTTTCTTTTTTCTCTTTCCAAATTTATTTCACTGTATTATACTCCTTGAATAACATCTTCAAACCCTAATTTTTCTGATTACAGTTTATAATTTTACTACATCTAGCACTACGGGATTTGAATCGACCACTGCATCTCTGTGCTAATGTGGTGTGTCAACTCGAACTGATGTACGTACGTACGAAGTTTTACGTTCTTACTGACTGACTGTTATGTATAAATTAATAATTCCTTCAAGGGATGCTATAACTATGAAGATACTTACTGATTTCTGAATTAGTATTCAGAAAACAAGTACTATAATAAAAGGGTAGTTTTTAGGAGCATTGACAGTACATAGCAATGACATTCTTCAAGAAATTCATCTGTTATTACTTGATTAGGATGATTAAGGCACCTGACAAAAAATGGGCAAAGCTGTGATCCATAAATTAATATGACAGTCAACAAGATTATAGACCTCATTTGACTTAGTCGATTCACGCGTTACACGTCAATTTACAGTTTACATAGGCTAGCTATAGCCGGATTATGTTCAATAGCGGCTGCAGGCGACCAGACTAAAACACTCAACCAATCCGTGTAGTCACTCATTCTTGGCTTGATTTGTATAACGGTATGCAGACTTCTAAATCTCAAATGTTTTATTATTCGCAATTTGTTCTTTGCTGCCCATGATCATGTATATTAATCCTAACCTCTTGGTGATTGTCTTTTCGCTGTTTTGAAGTGTGATAACTCAGTTGAGAATGGTCCCTTGCAGTATGTATTGAACGAAAAATTAAGCAAACATCTTAAGTGTAACTTCTGGTCGTCAAATCAGTAAATTTTTTTACGAAGATCAAGACAAATATTAAAGTCATCCCACTGGTTAAATTAATTGTTTATTGCTTTGTTTAGCAATTCCTAAAAGTGCCCTATTTCTCATGATTGCTGATCAATATGAAGGAAAGGTCAATGTAAACCTATGTGAAAGAATAATTTCTTGTTTGATATCTTCATCTTGGTCATCAGCACTCGTTTACATGTTTAATTTATTCTGTAATTCCTTTAGCTTTTAGTTGTTGATGTCAGTAGACGCCTTGGTTCTGGTCCATCCGATTCCGAGGCGATTAAGATGCACCCATTCTTTCGTAATACTGATTGGGATCGTGTTCTGAAAAAGCAGGTTGAACCACCCTTCCGACCAACTTTGACATCTGACACGGACGTTTCTCTTTTCGATCCCAAATTCACTCAAGAAAATCCCGTCGAAAGTCCGGATGAGGGCTTGCCAATATCTGCAATGGTTTCTGATGTTTTTGAAGGATTTACTTATGTCGACCCCCAAATCCATATTGACATGGCTCGTGATCCATGGGTATCTACTTGGCAAACCAGTTCACGCTCGCGTCGAAGGTCTGGGATTTCATCCAGCAGGTAAGAGTTTCAGATTTTTGCATATTAATCACATTTTGGGTGTATGAGATATCTGTATTGCAACTAAGGGTTTTCTAAGTATCCATGTCTGATTTGTTATGATGATATGGTAACTGGGTACATTGATATGTTTTACATATTTTAGTTCTCCAGGCTTCGTTGGACATACAATCATGGCAAATCCAAATACACTTATGCAAGGAACTGATATTCTACATGTTGGAACCCCTCACCCCGAGCAGTTGCAGTCTACATTGGTTGCACATCTTCCAAATACTGTTCAAACTTCTATCCCGACTCAATCACAGCCGTTTGTTTTTGCTGAAGATTTCGAGGATATGGACGTCGCCAGTACTAATTTAACCTACAGCAACAACCCACTTGATAGCCATTCAACTGTCATAAACACTGTCAATATATCCACCAGTAATTCTGTAAGACCTACGTATGCTTTACCTCTTGGTTCCCATCGCTTAGAAAATAGTCGAGTGATGGAAACTGGTATTTGTGATCCATATTCATCGCGCTCGGGCGAACATGTTAATGGAATAATTCCAAAACCAATTGACACACGTCTAGTAAGCCCATCAAGTTCTGCTGCCGCACAGGTATCAGCACTTGCTGCAGCAGCGCTTGCTACTTCATCCCGTTTGGTTGGTTCTTCTGTACACATACCTTCAATTGCGTCTCATAACTCTCCCAATCGACCTTTCATGAATGAGCATATGATGTTTGATCCTCAAAATATCAGACTTATGAATTTGGGAAAATCACAACCACAAACTCCATTGGCTGCAGTAGAAAGTTTGCATGTTCAGAGGAAATAGTTTCTGTTCGTTGAAAGAAAAATAATGAAGCTGTTCAATTTTTTCTGTGTTTCTCAGGCTTCATAATTTCATTTGTATGAACTAAGTGGATTGGTATGTATTATGAACACCTAGTTTTATTTCATGAGTGTTAGAATTTTGATGCGAATTTTGTCATTTTCCCTTTTCTGATATGCGTATTTTGTATGCAACTGATATATTTTTTGTTGTGTGCTATTTTCATCCCAAACAAGCTCATCTGTGAGTTTCTTCATGTACAATACCTTACACGTACTGTTCACAAGATTCTGTTTTTGATTCCTACCCAGGAATATTATATATATATATGAATTGTATTATGACGGTTTTGTTAACAATGTATTTTTTTCCCATTTCAATATCTGATCTTTTCTTGAAGCATCATTTTTAATCAAATCTTGAATAAAAATATTTTGGTCACAAACACGTGAGTAGTATTCCCGGACGCAATGCTTTACATGGATACACAATTTACGTATACTATCTGATAAATTCATTGTTATTTTGATCCAGTGGATGTCTTCATCTAGCCAACCATAGTACATTCATATTTTTACTTTCTTATTTATGACACTCGGTGAACTGAGTGATTTCCTAACTATCAGATGTACCAAACTCTTTATTTAGATATTTCTATATATCTTATTTCACTTAGAAACTGTCAAATCGTTGGCTAATTACCATTTGTAACTTGAGCAATGTTTGCATGTTAGTGTACATTTATATGAGTATTTTATGCGTTTTTCCTCCGCGTTGTTTTCATTTTTGCAATTATTTAATTTATCCATTAGTCAAACCAACAAATGATCAGTTATTTGATTTTTACAATCATGTATTTATTCATATGTTGGTGATTATCTTTTTCTCTATCGACTCATTATGCATTCCTACCTCGATAGTTATTTTCTCTTCTATAAGTTTTCTTGCCATGGTAATTATCTTAGTTCTTAAAAGTGTTTTACACATCTGTATTGAAAATGCGATATTTTCGAAGCACCATATGTGCCTCCTTTTTTAATTTTTGTTATCCTGTTAAACGTCGATTCCTTACCGGGCTGATACTATGTGGTTTGACTATATCGTTAGCCCACCAGCTTATTCTTTGTCATTGTTTCTGTAATCGAAGGGTATTTGACTTGCTACCTTTAACTTCACAGGGCTTCCTGGTATATTATGAGAATTGATTAATGCTTTACTATTTATATCATTTTTTCTCTAGCTAAAATGCTTCTTCGAGTCTTGCATTACTTATCAATTCGTTGACGCTGTTTTGATATTTTTATTTATGTTGATATGATATTGTTATTGTTCATCCCTTTGAGTGTAAAAAATGAACCTTGTTGCCTGAAATGAGTTATTGTGTAAATCGAAAAATGGTATTCTCTCAATCTTTCAATTTTTAAAATCCCAATTTGCTTTCATATGATATTTCACTCTCTTCCTACAAAGATTTCTTGTAACTCTGCCGTAACTGCCTTTCAACGGTGATTCAAATAAAAATACGTACTTTTTCATAGATATTTTTTTGATTATTTTTCTTTGTTACTGTTATGTGTGACGTAGTTGCATGTACGTTTAGTAATCGAAGTTTACAGGTTGACTCTGTTCTTAGTAAAATCAAGGTTTAGGTATACTTCTAACAGCATTTTTACATATCCAGTTAATTATGTAAGCGAGATAGTCTGTAGCAAGCAGATCGATCGCCTAGTTGTATTCACTAATTTTATCGTTAGTATTTGAATAGGAATGATTTGTCAATTAAAGGAATGAGCAGACTAAATGAATTAATATTTGCTACCCCCTATATTAGTAGCTGGCTGTTGTGTATTTCTCAGGAAGTTTTATAAAATTAGTAATCCGAAAGACTGGCTTTAAGTTATAGGGTAGCTTTGTCTGAAAATTCTGACCAAATAAAATGAATATATCTTTCATTTATCAATTTGATTTGTAAAGTAGCTGTTTATGAAGATGTTAGTGTTCGCAAGTGGTATTCGATCCTTTTTCTCACACAAACTAGATCTTTGTATACTGAATGTATTACAATATTCTGCAAGTTTGAGGTGGGTGTTTATATTGTGACGTCTTAACTGTTTTTTTTTAAAAAATTGCAGAAGATGAAGAGGTCATTTTCTGAAGATACAAATCCGGACCATGATTTACTACATGGATCTACTTCACAATTAGATTCGACTCCCCCGATCAGTAAACGTTTAATTTCAGCTGCATCAGAGCCTATATCATTCATCCGAATCTCATCCTTGGAGGAACTTGATAAGAGAGCATTACAGCTTCAAAATAAAAAACTATGGGAAGCGTTGATGGAACGTCGAGCTGCCATTGCTGAATTGAAGGAACGTATTGAACACCTAGAAAATCGCCAAACTAAGGATGATGCTTTACTTTGTGTAGTCAATCGTTACTGGAATCAGGTGATTTTAACAAAAATATTTCGCATAGATTATTACTGCTATGTTAAGTCTAGTGATTGTTCGCTGGATATATAGGTTTAATACTACTCCTCAGTACACAGTGTCTTGTATATTACAGACTTCTATTTTCCTTAAGGCATACAGTGTACATTACAACACAAGAAAAAATTCATATTGTAATCTAATAATAATTATTCACTATTCAAAAGCTAGACGTTTCCAAAAGTAATTGAAGACAAATCAGATTTACTAAAATCTGACAGCCGTTTTTGACTGCGCTTCTTGGTTTTCGATTTATTCGTTGCCAACTTTATCACTTTAAACATATGGACCTTGTGTTCATCAACACAGGTAGTATGTCCGATCTTCAGTTTATTTACTCTATTCTATAACGAAGGTCCCCACTTGTTGTTATAAGTCATTCTTGTTGTCGAGGTTTCGGGTTTCGATAGGACCGATCTGTTTGGATTTTTTAAGTGTAGGAAATCAAACTGTGTTAAGTTGGGATACTCAGTGTATTCCATGGAATTGGATTACCATTTTATGGATGCCAAGATCGTAATGTAGGGGACTCAAAACATTACTAAAAAATCTGAAATTCAAGCAGCTGGTAGTATGATTCATTACTGGTAATTTTCTGTTCGTGCCATATACGTGAACCAATATCTCATTTTTATATTTCATGAAATTACAGTGACGTTAAGAATAAGTTTACCAAAAGTTGTGTTTTGTTGATGTTTCACTCTGTTCATGTCGAACGTACTGAATAAACAATTTTCATTTGTATTCAAAACAAGTGAACAGAGATTTAGTACATCTTATAGGATTCCAAAATGTCGACATGCATTTCAAATCATTGAACTTGTAATCTGACTGCTGTCTACTAGTTTTAATTACACTAATTATTAACCACTGAAAATGAAGCACAAGTACGGTCACTAACAAACCACATTAATTCACAACGAGCGGATACAACTGCGTAAATATGAAGTTCTCCAGTCTATGTACTGTCATTTTGCTAACATCAATTCACATTTCCATAGATGTAAGGTTTGTATACAAAAACACTGTTGTTTAAAAATAACATTTATATCTCCAATGAACATTTCATAGTCAATCACTGTTAGTAGCGTTATTTTATTTTGTGGGTATATTCGTAGAATGGTTCCATAGCATGTAAAATAAAATCTTGGCATGGCATACCATATAAGTGTACTATTAAATCTTTTAAGCATACAATCATTTCTTAACAAACTATTTTTTGGTGTTGTATTAACTAGTGAAATTCGGAAACTTTTATTTATTCACTGTTTTTTCACAGTTTATCTTTTCTGTAAACCTACATCACATTCCCATATCATTTAGCTTGCTTACACTCATGTAGAATTCTGTTTATCAGCTGATGGGATGATCCCTCACATGTGATCTGAACTCAGGAGCTTTGGTCTCGCGCGCGAACCCTTAACCTCTAGATCACTAAGCCAGCATCCAACGGTGTTAGTGCCCAACTTCAACCAATCCTAAAAGCGAAGAAAAGCGCTGGCATTGTGGGATAGGATTCAAACAGAAATCCATTCGTATTTACCTTCTAAACTACCTGAGGGCTAACAAAGTTCAAACATGAACAGTTTGGCACAACTTTGTTATGCTTGTAATGCCAATTTTTTGATGGTCATAAATTTTTGTCATTCAGATGGAATTTAATTACTGACTGTTGTTTCTAATTAGTTTCTTTTGAAATTTTAGCTCGATGAAGATAGCTTGATTATACTTCAGCGTTTTGATTCGGATGCTGAGGAAGAAAGTATGCTTCTGTTTTAAAAGCTTATTTTTTTATCTTTCAATGTAACTTTATCGATTTTTGAATCAATTTTTAATTGGTTATGGGTGTGTTTATTTGTGTTTCAGGTGGGATGATTAACTGAGTTATGTAAATTGTTTTAATTTTCATAGTCAGCGCTGGACACAAGTATTTTTCGTGTAAAATAATTGCGTATTATTTTTAGTATGCAAAATAAAAATCCATAATGGTCACGAAATTCGGTAAATAAAGCGTTCACTTATGTGTTGATAACTCAACAGGGATAAATAAAACTCTTGGAACTCATCATTATTTCATTCCTGCCATTAGTTTTTCGTCCTTTGGTTGATTACGGTAGATACGGTATACGGCTTTGCCACTCGAACATGTAGAATTCGGTATCAAGTCGAGAAGGCGAAAAAGGCCGGAGAAGCGTTCATTGGGTAAGTGTACGAAATGCACAGAAACACTGGTGTGTTTATAGTTTTTGGTATAGGTTATAAAATCATTACAATCCAGCCAATCCCCATGTAGGGAGTTTATATAGTTCTCCAATCGTAGCATGCTGTGTTGATATCCTGGAAAGTTCTACCAGGTTCTGATTGGACAGTGTCCGACTTCTTTAGAGCCTCTAAAGGCTTTGTTGCGTTTTGTGGGAGCTGTTACAACGTTCTGACCATCTATAACTTCTACTCAATATAGTCCAATGCCACGCGGAACGTCTGTATCTGTTATGAAAGTTTACCTTCGAACAACTACTGTTATTGATATTCAAGTTGTTACTTTCAGACACATAATTAACACCTTTCAACAGCGTTTAGTTGACGTTCTTTCCTACTGTTTTTTTCGTACTCGATTTTTTTGTACAAAGCACTTAGTTTCCCTACTACCGTATTCATGTAGATATTTCATGTATAACGATATTTTTCATTTCTTCCAACTTAACTTATCTCTGCTTAAATGAGTGCTATCTTTTCATCGTTATAGGAGGTACAATTAATCATTTGATTTATCTAATCGCGTTAGACTACTTTCATATGACTGGTATCTCTTCAGTTACATTTGCCCTAGGACAAAAACATCACCATAACGGGTGTTTTGACTTGTGTTATTTAGACTAAACTTCTGAAAACAACTCCTTTTATGAAGTTTGGGTGCAAGCCTCTCGGTCTGTGCAACCTGACTAGTGACTCAATAATCTTGAGCACTACGTTGACAGAGAAACTGCTGTTCAGTATTATTATGATATGCAAAGATAACTACCAAATATCTTTCATTCTCACTCCACGTTTTTCGTAGTTTCAACATCTACAGAATCATTTCTCAAACAATTGGCTTCATGGGACAAGGAAGAAGTTCCAGAAAAGCTTCAAGAACGAGTGCATTTTTCCAAGCGTATTATTGCACGCCTCTTATCTGCCTATGAAAAGCAAGTTCTTTTGATAAGTTTGTGTCTTAATTTTCATGTATCGTATCTTATTTCTTAGTACAAGTGTAGCTTGTGCTTCATAATTTTTTGCCATTTACTAATCGGCTGTTATATTGGTTGGGAACATCTTATACTTGAGTGACATGTTTTAATCATATTTAGTTTTGTTCTTTTTACGTTATTTGATCATGTATTCCTTATGTAAATCATTCAATGTTCTGTTAGCAAAAGTGAAAATTATTATACCGTACTGTATATATTTCATGAAATCAATCCTTTCAATTTAATTTCACTAACAAATTCTCTATACTTTCTTAATCTTTATAATTTGTTTTTCAGAATGGTTACTCACCAGTTTCGTTTGCGTCAACTGCTTGGGAACACTACTGAAACCGCATCAGTTTCTGTTGGATCTGAAATTAGTGATAATATTTTACCTATTCATTCCAGTTCATCGGCTCCTTATGGCACACAAAACTCTAATTCTGAAGGTAACAATCAGTCAACTAGTTCATCTCAGGAGCCTGCTTCAACAACGTGCAGCAGATCTGGTGCAGTAGATTTGCACGAGGAAATAACACTTTTAAACAAGGAAAATCTTCGTCTCCAAAGCCTTTGTACAAATTTGCATTCTAAACATCGACAAAGTAGTCTTCGCGTATGTACAAGTTTTTGAGTTTGTATTGCTGTATGTGGTTCTAACCAACTTTTCCATAATTCATTTCTTGACGGTTACTTCCTCTATAAAATAATCATAATTTCAGTTAGGTGCATGTTATGGATGGTACTTTTATATTTTGATGATAGACATGTTTTCAGTTGTCAAAAATAATGAAGAGAACAATGATCCATAAACGACACTAGATGATATGGATTAAACTACTGATAAGTGTTCATGAGACCTAATCATTGACATAAGGCTTCTAATGAACTAGTATCAGTGGCTCATAATAGAAGCCAATGGCGATCCTACTGTAACTTTTTCTACTTTTTTCCCCAGAAAAAACGAACGTAACTTCTTTAACTAAAAGAATTCTTTCTGGTTGTATTTTTGCTAACTGAATTGCTTCTCCCATTATTATTATTATTATTATTATTATTATTATTATTATTATTATTATTATTATTATTATTTCACTATCATACACTAATTTCTGTTCGTTGTTGTTCTTTTTTCTTATACTCACTTTACATTCTCTATCTATTCACATTCTCATTGTTATTGTGTGACACATATGTATTTGGTGCCCCTTTGTACCAATATTTATGTGTTCAAATAAATAAATAAATTTTTCTTATAGTGACACTTTTATACAAAATGGTGACACTAAAAGATGATTAGATGTCATATAAAGTGTAACAAGTTTTTTCAGGTCATTCTTACATGCCGTTGTAGTTGATAACTTAGTAAATTCTTTATTTTTTCCTTTATATCAATACACATCTTGATGTATTATTCATGTTTAATAATTAAGAGACAAACTAATGGCCATTAAATTCCAGACGAATATCTTAATAATGCGTCATATTTGTTTTTAAAAAAGATCAAGAGGTCAAAAGTTGTAAACGTGGAATTTGGAATCGTAAATTTCCTCAAATTGTGGTGATTAATAGACAAAAATGTGCACTATGAATAGTATTTTTAGGTTAGAAAATTTGACATATTGTGAATGGAGTACGATCTATTCGTCAATTTAACCTCATTCCAAAACTAACATTTCAGAACTTCCTATCCCATATCTTTACAATGTTGTGGTTGAACATTCACCCAGAAATTATTCAATAACTGTATCAAAGCGTTTTTCATCCCATTTCTTGGATATAAAATCAATGCTAGTGTTAGAAGTCACTAAGAATCTTTATTATATATGTCAATTTATTATGCATATTTTTAATCGTCAATTTGTAACGGTCGATTTTTAGCTTCGTGAACTACAAGACTTAGCTCAGACGAATAGTGACGCTTCAGCGGAATGGCAGGCTAAGTATGAGGATTTAGATTATAAACTTGCGGAAGCAATGAAACAAGTTACGCGTTTAGATCATCGTCTGTATGAAGCTCAGGAGAAGAATAAAAAAATGGAAGTTGAATTATCAGCTCTCAAATGCTCAGACTCTCCAGGTATATATTTGATTTGGTTTTCATATTTTTTTATTACTAATTATAGCTCCCCTCTGTTTATCCATGACTGTTACTCAAATTACTGAGTATTACGCGTGTACTCAGGTGTAAAGTTTTGCGTTCAAGTCTACTGACGATTATTCTTGTGTAGAGATTTGTCAAGGTTCTGTTTTTAGTGTTTCCAATAATAGTATCAAAAATGGGATTTAATAACATTAACGTCAGTTGATACTTGTACTAAAATAAATAGTCAAGCTAAGGCATTCTTTTTCTTTGGCTAGATGTTCGACGTTTTCTCAATCGTAATCATATACGGTTTCTTATAATCTATCACATTTTTCGCAACATGGGACGTATCTAACTTATTATCAGGTGTGACGATTTATCCAAAATCATCGTAGTAGTCGGTCAGAGATAATCAGTAGAAAAATCGCTTTAGTGAAAAAACTAAACTTCTTGGTTAGCACGGGATTAGTTAAGTTAAAGATGTTATTGCCAAACTATAACTGGATCATGTTACAAAAGTTTGGTTCCTAATCTAATATATGGAGCCTTATGGTTCAAGCTCACAAAATTTAGGCGTTAGGATTTATGATGGAAAATGTACAGATGTTTTCATTCTCTATCTTTCTCTGCATTTCAAGCTTTCTATTTTTCCGAACTTTTCATGCTGTCTTTTTAAACTTATTTAGTATGTTTAGTTCCCCACTGGTGTTATTTCGTATTTTTCGCCTCTCATCTTGTTGATTCCTTTCTCTATGCTTGAATCGATACATATTTATGAATGCACTTTACTTTTTTTATGAACAAGTAATTAGTTACAAAGGTCTTGACATTGAAAATTTCATTAAATTCGTGACCTTATCAGTCAGTCAGTCAGTCAGTAAGAACGTAGAACTTCGTACGTACGTACATCAGTTCGAGTTGACACACCACATTAGCACAGAGATGCAGTGGTCGATTCAAATCCCGTAGTGCTAGATGTAGTAAAATTATAAACTGTAATCAGAAAAATTAGGGTTTGAAGATGTTATTCAAGGAGTATAATACAGTGAAATAAATTTGGAAAGAGAAAAAAGAAAGGGACATGAAGAATTCAGAAGATTAGAATTTGGGAGAACACAGAGTGGATGCACCTGCGCCATTGCAAACAATTTTGAGCTATGTCATTCAGGGTGTCTAACCATCGGTTGCTATCATCTCGCGGTCCCCAACCAGGTAGCCTACACCTGCCAATATGACTCAGTCTACTTGTCAGTGACTTCATGGATTTGTGCCATGTTTTGGTCTGGCCGACCCTAGCTTTCTTCCAATCTACTCCTATACAACAAAACATCGCTCGTCGGGGCAGTCGGTTGTTATGCATACGTAACACATGTCCCAGCCATCTCAACTGATGAAGTTTCACTACGTCATCAATTGATTTGCCATCCTTACCTAGTACCTGTTTCTTAACAACTGCATTACTTACTCGATGGTCCCAGGATATACGAGCAATATTTCGAAGACACCTATGATCAAATACTAGTAACCTACGGATATCCTCTACTCTTGCCGGCCATGTTTCACTGCCATAAAGTAGGACGGAACGAACTGCTGCGCAGTAAACACGTCCTTTGGTTGATAGACGGATATCTCGCCTACGCCATAAATGACGCAAGTGACAAAAGCTAGTCGAGCCTTCTGTATCCGTGCTGAGATTTCGTCACACACTAAACCACAAGGGCTGATGAGACTTCCAAGATATGTGAAGCGATCGACACACTCAATTTCTTCACTCCCTCTCATTAGTTCGGGTGTCAATGCAACCCAATCCTGAAGCAACATTTTGCATTTCGAGGGAGAGAATCGCATCCCGAACATGCCTGCATTGTTGCTCAGAGTAGTCAGAAGACTGCATTTTGTCAGCGTCTTCACCAAATAAAACTATGTCATCTGCATATTCTAGGTCAAAAAGTGAACCTCCCGGTAGAAGTTCAACTCCTGTAAAGTCAGATGAGGGAAGTGTTATCTCTAAAAGTACGTTGACGACAAAGTTGAACGAGAATGGAGAGAATGGGCAGCCCTGACGAACACCACTTGAGGTAATCAATTCTGATAACAGTTCGCCATAAGCTCTCACTCTACCAGTTGTGTTCGAGTAGAGAGCCTTTACAAGGTTAATGTACTTCGTTATTATATTATTTTATAGTTCAATAATATTTTCTTTTTCTTGTAGGTCGTGAAGATCCTTCAAATATTGATGGATCAATTACACGAAATAAATATAATGACTTGGCTTGTGAACTGGAAGAGTACCGTGAGTTGGCAAATAATCGTATAAATGAATTAGAACGCCTTCAACGTCACTTGGAAGACAAAGTTGCAGAATGTGCTTCATTGAATATGCAAGTTAGTTTTGAATTTTTTTTAAAATTTCCTGATTTGTCTGTCATTTGGAATCTTACAGAATTTCGATGAACCCATTCAATGTTTTTCAATGCACTTCATATAATTATGTCATTCGAAATCTCCAGTGCTGTTTATACTCAGAAGTGCAATTATTTGCCTGCATTCAAGTGTAGCATCTTAAAAGCCTGTTTTCCTTTTCAGAGTTTCTGTTAGATTGTCATTAACATCAGTATGATAAAGGTTATTTGAATCAAACTATTCCCTTTGTGCTCCTTTCAGGATGACTTGAGGGTGACCGGAAATCGAGACCATTAAACCAATATTTGATTGTAATTGTAGGTAGTCAATTCGTTTTAAGGATTCTCTTTTATTCATTTTTTTTAACTGTGACAAACATGTTCGATTTCTAATTGTTATCTAATCAATTGAGTTAGTATGTACATCACAATTCATCATATAATTCACATTCCAAATTTTTACTTTCATTGTTTTTTTTATTGATATATCTTTTGCTTTATTAGTTAAGAGATATTCCCGAGCATATTATTACAGAATCTCCTCAATATTTATCCTTAAAAACTCAATTCAATATTCTATATAATGAAGCTATCCAACTAAGAAGTCAGTTAGAGGAAGCTAGAAGTACTATTCAGAATAACAGACATAATCATCTGAAACAGATAGAAGAGATGGAGGTGCGTCCTAAAATTAATTTTTCTTTTTTCCAGTTGTTTGTTGTAAATATAATTTTTGGGAAGCGGTTGCTTAGTGATCAGATCTTTCGACCATTTAGTCTCAGATTCGGACCCCACTGCATCTGCTTCGGTTTAAGCGACTGGGTAGTATCTTAGCGCTTACACTTAAGGTGTAGCTCATATCTAATGAGTTAATTCACTACTTATATGTTTTATATAATCCTTCTGTTAATTATTTTTATATTCTGTGTCTGTCGTCTAAACACATTACAAAGCTTTAGTGTTTTCATCAGAATTATCTGTAAAATGAACATTAATAGCAACTCGGAAGGTTGGATGTTTTCATGAAAACAATTTCATCCACAATAGGGATCTTGTTTTAATGTAGAAGCAGTTCTCTCCTTGTTGATTAGTTTATACGTGTTCTATCCTCTAGAGAAAGATACCAGTTCTCAAACCGAATAAAAATGCTCATCATAAAAGTACATTATTATTAAACTTACCCAGATCGAGTCAGCATAGCATATGCAGTTCTTTGATAAGTTAATACATTTATATCCTATCCTTCAACCTTTTGGAAGACGTTTCCTGTTCTTAGAAATTTCTTTTAGTTTAGCTTACATACATACCTCTAGCAGCTTACGTAAGGATCATGATCTTGACCGCTTAAAACTACATAAGTGCCCAATAATCATAAAGTAATTTCAAGATATTTTACAACTGACTCAACTATTGTTTTACACATCTTAACACTTAGAATTGAATAAGAACTTATTATTGAAAATTGTTAACCTGACACAGTGTAAATCATAGTGAAATTTCTCATAAATTGTTTCTCAGAAATTATTTTGAACTCTATTCATATCTACACATAAGTTTCACAGGGGATTCTTGATTAGATGGCATATATTCCATTATATGGATTATTAGGATTTGTCTAACAAACTATACATATGATATTAGACCATTCTTTAACGTTATTTTCCCCATAAAATTCCTTTGTTCGTCATGTATTTAACAGGGCACTTGTCACAGCTGATCACTTCCTCTAGAGGTGTCAGCTTTCTTTTCAACTGGGAATGAACACAGTCATTCACACCATTAAACTTCGAGAGAACTTATTACTACTTTTTACCTAATATTCACATGATTCTATGTTCAGCCAACGTAATATAATAGCATTTCTGAAGAAAATACATATGATCTGAATGTCACAGATTTCTTGATTTTGTACTGTGCTGTCGGATAAAGAAGTTTCTTTTAGAGAGTGGCGTAAATAAAATTGTTTAAAGTTCTTACTTGTAGGTTTTTGATCCTTCATGTGGAATAAAATTATAATTCTACATTTTCGTAACTATAAAATGAATTCTTTCAGGACGGATTGAAATCGCAAAATATGACTTGGAAAGTATTCGCAGCTTAATTGTCTGAAAAACCACCCGGTTGAATTATTAATTTGTGAATATTGTTGTTATTATATACTACAATTTCTCTGTGGCAGTAACTAATTTTGGATGAGTTGTCAGTTAAGAAAGATAGAACTAACCTGTTACTTAAGTAAGACCTGTAAAATATTCCAAATCGTTTCTCAAAGCAATGTTAATGATAGTCGGTTATTATCGCGTGGTCTCTCATTTTAAAACAAAATGCACCTCATATTTTTGTAAATATTCAAGTGGTAATTGCAAATGGGTTTACAACTGCATGTTTGTTTACTGAACATTCATTTTATTCATTATATCCTAACTGATTTTTAGTCATTTCAGTAGGATATTTGTATGACTTCCATTCTGTTATTTTTAAAACTCAAGTTGTCCGACGTCATCCCATAGCTGGAACACATTATTCTGTAGATAAAATTCTATAGCATTTTGTTTTTTAAGAATTTCCTGTTTACTGTTTACTATTTGGTTCTTTTGTATTAGGCAAATGAAGCAGCTATACAGAATCAGATGCGATCTGAAATGCTTCTAATTGAAGGGCAATACTCTCAACTAAGACACAAATATGAAACTATGGAATTGGATTTCAAGCAAGCATTGACGCATAATGAACAAGCTGGTCCTATCAGTTGCGAAATGCGTAGTCTAATTTCCACACTCCAAACACAAAACAAACAACTAAAAGCTGAAGTGACTCGTTATCGTAGAAAATGTGAAGAAACTGTACAGGAACGTGAAATGGTCAGTTTTTTGATACTTATTTTGAACGTGTTTTTGAGTGGTTTACCCATCATTTTAACTATGCTACAGAAGAAATATATTAACTCAGTGATATTCACGTTCTTATTCATTAAAATATACTCAACAGATATTGATTTCAGTATATGACTGAACTATCATCCTTGAGTATAATCAATAAATAAAATGTTATAGTAAAATTCATACACTTAGGTATTTTATGTTCAATTTCAAAATTTACTTCTATACATATAGATACGTGCGGATTTGAAATGTACAGAGGATGAGTTAATTCGTGTCCGTACGGCGCTTTCTGAGGCAACTGCAGCTGTTATTACTGCATGTGAAAAGTCAGATCAGTCGACACCATCAACCCCCCAAAGCTCAAATCTACCTCAGACTTCAGTAACAATGCCAGATGTAAGTATTCGTTTCAATATGAATTTTTCTTTTATATAAACAAAGCAACAATGTTTGTTAATGAAAAGCGTTTAATAGTTTATGTAAACATTTTTCTGTAAGTTCGCATTTCATTTCTATTTAATCAGACGTTGCGTCATAGAGAACAAAATATCCCTGTTACTATTTTAATTATATACTTTACCTTTCTCAAATTTCCATGCTAACGTATCATGTAACATTAAGTCTATTAATGACTTTTTTCTTATTGAGGTTGGATCACCAACTGCTGATCCAGAATTGAAAGCAAAAAATTCAATTCCTATAAAAGTGGAGGAAAATGTTAAGTATAGTTCTCCAAGTTCATCTACTGCTCGATCTGGCACAGTCACCACTTCAGCAAGCTCTCATGTCAATGGAAGTGGTCCCGAAAAAGTTTTGAAAACTGTAAGTTTAATTAATTAAAACTGTTGTCTGAAAGATTAGTTTCAGGCATTTTTAAATCAGTATAGTATCTTTGTTATATCTCGCCAAATACGAAAATTGAATTTCTGACGTTTTGCGAACTGGCTCAAGTTTACCTGCAAATAGTGATCTATTTTCCCGGCTCAGCGCAAGTATAAATATTAGGAGGAGTAAATAAGACCAAATATTTCATGCATACAAATAAGTATATTCATTTTACTGCCATGTTATTTTAATGACTTTCCATGATCGACATTTTCTATGTTCCTGTGTCTATTTCGGCGTTAATAAATGTTATATTTCCAGTGTTATTGTGATCCAGTTTATGTTTTTATGGTGTGATCAACTTAGAGCCTACCCCAACTACACGTTAGGTTATGTTTATATACCATATCAGCACGTAGTGCGAGTTTTACACAAAATGAGATGCTTCAGCTACACCTTTTTCTATTTATTTATCTAATTCTTTAAACTATTTGAATACTTATATTAATGGAGAAAATGTTCAGCTCAGGTAGATATTTTTGGGTAGTGTTGCGTTTTTTTGAACTAGCATGGAAATACTGTTTAAAATCTGTATGATTGTTGACTATGGCATTAACTAACTGCTGCTTACCTGATTTTTAGATTTTTATATTTTATAACGTTATTTTTTCTTTTTAGTTAGGTTTAATTATCAGCGTTAATTATGATTTCACTATAACACTGTTCAGTATAAATTGTATCTCGATGGATACAACTTAATCAGTAGACAACTATATTTGTTACTATTTTATCTGCTCTCATATCAACATTTTTGTTTTCTCATTAGGATTAGCAGAGTTTATCAACATAACCGATAGGGCTTACAATATTTGGAAGTACAACTTTTGTTGCAATTTATTACTGAATGAAAGGTTTTGAAATAACATGTATAAACTTTCTGTTTGCATTTTAGGAATCTACTCCCGACTTTCGTTGTAATGTCTCGTGTTCTTCGCCGTCCAATGAGATTATTCGTGATTTAAAAGAACAACTGAAGTAAGTATCCTGTAGTTTTTCTTAATTCTTCTATTGAGTACGAATTTACAATAATATTCTTATTCTAGGCGTTCACAAGAATCACAAAAAGAAATGTCTGTACTACTCAACATGTATAAAGTTATCCCAAAAGATCAAAGAGATAAAGCAGCACTTCTTCAGTGCGAAGCCAAGCTGCGGGGTGAACTGGCTGATGCCAGAAATGAAATCGATAAACTTCATGCAACTATCAAAGATCTTCAATCACAACAAACGAAGATGCAGCAACAGCGGAAGTCAACGTTAACATCTCCTATTGAGCCCAATTTAAAAATGTCACCTGCTGAACGTTCACTCACTTCCCATGGAAATATTCCACTATCTCCTTCGAAAACATGTAAGACTGGGTTGATTTCTCCTGAAGAAAAAAGCTCGAGTATATCTGGATCTCTGCCGATCACATCTTGTGGAAAATCTAAAATTTCTGCTTCTGATTGGCAAATATCAGAGTTGCAAATGGAACTGTATATAGTTCGACGTAAAAGTCAATCTGTTGAGGAGCAGTTAAAACTTCACCAACAACGACTTGTAGCTGCCAAGCAACAAGAGGATGTACTATTGAAGGAAATGGAAGTGAGTTTTACTTTTGTTTGTATTTTTTCACGCCTGCTTTATTTAGAAGCAGTCCGTTAACAGAAATATTCCAATATATTAATGCTTACCAATGTTATTAGGAAAAACTTGGCCTATTAAAGACCTTGAATATATTTACAGTTTATTATGAACATTACTAATTAACTTTGCAAGTTATTACTAATCTTTTTGAGATAAATGATTTCCGTATGTTCTGTTCACGCTTTCGAGCTGACCATTTAAAAAAAATTACTGACATTTTTAACAAGAACTTGCTTAATTACATCAACATTATTTTTTTCTGCTATTTAAAGATTACTGTTCAAGCATTTGAAGATGCACAAGAACAAAACGTTCGTCTTGTTAAAACATTACGAGAAAAAGATGATGCTCACCTAAAGTTAATGGCAGAAAGAATGAAAACTGCTCAACTTGCTCGTTTACTGAAGGAAGACAAACAGCTTTTAGAAGAACAGATACGTCTGATGCAAACAAAAATTGAAGCGTTAAACCGTGCAGTTCTAAAACAGGAAGAGAAAGTAAGCTGAAAATTTCTGTATATACTTTTTCTTAATGAAATAAATTTAGAATACTAATTGTAATGAGATTCTGTCTTTGCTAGTCTCATATAGACAACTCAAACTTTACCAATGATCTTGCATAGTACTGCTTTTTTATTACGAGATTTTGTTTTATTGTTTTTTACACCTGTGTCGAAGTATTCTTGATGGATCAAGGAGGCACCCCAATTAATGCAATTTGATAACTAACGACTTTACAACTTTATACGGGTCTGCCTGTGATATATTTTAACATTTTCTCGTAAATAACGTAAGTGTCACAAATCCACTACCGCATTCGAATCGTGTTACAAGCGTTTAAAGTTGTACGTAGTGTTGAATATATATGGCTACCATACTATATCAGTCTGATATATCACCTCTATTACTGATCATAATTCCTTACAGAACTGTAAATAGTGTTTGTTCTTAGTCAATTTCCATCGCTGAACTCGCTTTATTTATGTATAGAAACAAACCGGTGTTTTTACGAAACGTCAATCCCATGACTCGATTTATGCTGTTGAAGTAGAGATAATTTTGAAAGACCTTTAGACTTACTAAAACATGACTTCATTGATTCACGTTCTTCACTGGTGATTGATTTTAGCGGTTCAAAAAAACATTTGATAATTTCCTTGAAACGTGGGAAACCGGTTTTCCAAGATCTAGTTTTTTAAAACATTAATGCGTGAACGAAGGATATTTTTTCCTAATAAATCCTCTTCAGATTCTACAATTATGTATCCAAATTAATCGTCCAAAAGTAGTCAGGTTTAAGGAAAAGTACTTTAAATCATGTACTTTGCATTAAACCTGATCACTTTTGGACGATTAATTATGATAAATAATTGTAGAATCTGAAGAGAATTTATTGAAAAAAGGTTCTTTTCGTTCGTATATTAGCGTTTTGATGTGATGGGTTTTTTTAAACGATATAGTTTTTTAACCGACTACTATTAAGTCAGTGACACATCCATGCTTTATCCTAGTTCGCTGCCTTTTTTTGCTTTCTTTACAGGAACGTTTATTGTTAACCAATTTAGCAACCTTAGAGAAAGAGGCATCAGCTAGACAAAAGTCACAGGAAGCCTATAAACGAAAAGCTCTGGAAAGTCAACAAGTCTCTGAAGACTTAAAAGTGACTGTTCAAAAGTATCAAAGTCAACTAAAAGATGCTCAAACTACTGTTCAGGAGAAAGCGTCCGCTTTTGAACGCGTTTCTTTCGGTCATCAGCGTTTACAAGTTAGTTTTTATGTATTGAAAATCATTTTAATCTTTATGACTGGTGTAATTAGTGTGATAATCATTTTTGTACTTTTCCATAGTTCAGAATCCGATCACGTGCACAATATTATTATCTCAGATTTCTGTTGTTGTGTATATGATTAGATTTTTGTTGTTTCGTACTAAACTACAGAGCGAAATCTGTTTGTGTACTATATGTATGTAATGACTTGTCAGAGTTCTGATTCTGTTGGTGGTATGGTTATTTGTAATGGCTGATTGCTTGTTCAACGGAAAAAGGTCGATATTAATAAATGGAATGAAAAGTTCAAGATTTATTTATACACGAAACACTAATCCACTACTGATCATAATTTGCAATAAAAAATGTCCAGTCAATAGATAAACGTGTTTGTATTATACTGTCAATAGTTAACATGAATTAATCAGTAATTTAATGCGAGTACACAATTTGCAAAATCAATAAATTAACTACTTTGATCAACAAATATAGCCAAATTACTATATTATGTATTTTACTGTTTCCTAATACTCATCTTTTTGATTGAATGCGTTTGAGTAAGGTTTTCCGTAGGGTTGGGGCGGTCAGCTTATGTTAATATAATACTGAGCATGTAGATCGCTTCACTCATCATTCTGATAAAATCTCGGCGCGGATTCAGAAAACTCGATTAGCTTTTACCAGCTTGCAACACTTGTGGCATAGGCAAGATCCGTCTACCAGCAACTACCTGGTCGGGATCCTCGTGAATGATGTAACCAGTAGTTAAAGACTTTGGATGATATGGCTTGAAGTCGTTTGCAGTGGCACAGGCGCATGAACTCGTTGTTTTCTGTGCATTCTGCTTGTGCGTCAGCTTTCTCTGCTCATATTCTGCTGTTGTTTATTAATATTAATTGTTGCTTTGATTGCTAGAAGACTTCGGTTTTCACCATAAGGCGTCATAATTCTTTTGAATGAAGATCCTTCAACTCCCATGAAAGAGTTTAAATGTTTTGGACTGTTTTTCCCTGCTTAGACTTTCTTTAACAAGCTTGTTTTTCAACGGGATGGGCTTGGTGATCCCGTGCCCAACTCTTCTCTTTTACCTGGGTCTGGGACCGACCCTAACCTTAGATAAGCTACAGGCTATGTTATTTATTTTTTTACTTATCAGACTAAAATCCCTAATCTACTTAAAAATCTTGTTACTTGTTGCTTTAGTTTATTAGAAGCTCAGGTCTATAATTTGGCTTCGGTCTTTTATGAATTAAGACTTATGAATGAAATAGGCTTGTAATTGTTGAAATGAGTTGAATATCGCTCAATAAATGAAATACACAGACACAACGTGATCTAGTGATGGTCGCTCACAAAACTGCTTTATTCACGTAATCCCCAAAATGTTTATTTATCAAACGAAATTAAAAATCCCTCCTCAATAACAAAAATATTGGTTCTGTTTAATTGTTTTTATTCAAGATGAACTTGTAAGATCTATCTTTTTGATACTTTAAGTGGAGATGATTGTACAGTATGAATTACCACTATTCATAATACTGACATTGATGCTATTATACACATGGTTGATTAATGAAAACAATGCGTGTATTATTTTTTTCAGGAAGAACTTGTCACTGTGCGCAGAAAATACGAACGGTTACGCAAGATCGAACAGTCTCATAACGCTGATGAATTTTTATTGGCTGAAATTCAAGATTATAAAGTATGTTGTTTATATTAACCATTTATCTTTTGATTGGTCGCTTCTGTTCATAATCTAAATGCAATTCGTAATAAAATTTAAAAGCATGAGCTGTAAATATTGTTTTTTTAAATGCGAAATTCACCACTTGGTTTGATATTGTACATATTCCAGATGTTAGGCGAACTTATGTACCTTGTGACTTGTCACGATCTTCATGTTAGTTAATGTTTCACAGCATTTGTAATGATAATACTTTCCATCTTTGATTTAGTTTAGCTTTACTTTCACCCTTGTATTGTAACCCACCCTTTTTTGTAAATTTTAGGAGCAACTTACATGTCCAACGTGTAAAATCAACAGAAAGGATGCTATTCTAACTAAATGTTTCCATGTGTTCTGTTTGAATTGTCTAAAAGTTCGGTATGAAACACGAAATCGTAAATGTCCAAAGTGCAATGCAACATTTGGTGCCAACGATTATCATCGTATATACCTTACCTAATCTATTTAAACCAACAGGCTTATCTTTTCGTGTTTTTTTTTTTAGAAATCTCTTCTATTTGTTTTTGTATACTCCAGTAATGTATATAGTATTGACTGTGAGAATCCTTCACTATGTTCTGTAAATACTTCTCACTTTAAATAATATATAGTTTATATTTTTATGACTTTTATTATCTTTCAGTTGAATTTTGTGTGCGTAGGAAATCGGTTTGATAAAAGGTCGTTTTCCACATCCGATAAGCTCAACAGCCAAGCCGATTAGGTCTAGTAGTTTCACCTCTAACTCCACATTATTCTGAACTGCTCAGATTTGATTACTGTAATACAAGTTATACTATATTTATCGGTTAACTATCCCGAAAACGCGCACAGGTTTCGAAAAGATGGTTTTTTTGATCCACACAAGTATACTAGATATCTACCCTATCAGTAAACAATAAGCGTTAGGTAATGTACTATGAAAACTATTCAGCCCGATGCGTCGCCACTTACCGTCATATTAAGTAGAGTTGGACGGTTTTATGGCAACTATGGTTTAATGCTAGGTAAACTTAGAATTTTTTTTGCTGTAATCGTTACTGCGGCCAAGGAGATTCTAACAATATCAAAGCAAATCTAAAATCGACGAGGTAGATCGTATAACTAGTGCTCAACTTTATTTCAACGATTACTTGATCACACGAAAGTAAAATGTGAAAACCTGTCTCAAAGAAAACCAATAAAATGAGTAGACATATTTATACATATAATGTGAAACGGTAGCTCAGTAGTTACACTCTGAGTATGCTTTACTGGGTCGCATACCTTACAATGATACATAGAAGTTAGTAAATGTTATTAACACTCAGAATGCACTTCATTAACGGTGGTTGTAAATGACACTACTGTGTTACATTTTATCATAAGATATGAAGTGTTATGTAAAATATAAAACTGTACTCAAATACATAGACTTTCATTTGTCTCAAAAACCAAGACGGGGTCAACAATATTTCATAAGGTATGTGGACAAAATTACACATTTTAACCGTATGGTTGTGATATATTCAGTGAATTTTTTATCCATTGATTTTGTCACATTAAAAAGATACACGAAACAATTCAATGCATGTAATTTTACATTTACTATATATAGAATGATATCTCATATAATCATTTCATTTGGTTTTTTCGGAAGATCAATATACTTAGTGAAATGCCTTCATATGGAAAGCACGAATTTATAAAATCATTTGACATTATTCATCTCACTGAAATCAAACTGGGTATAAAAAATTTAATTGTTATTAAATTGAACCTCGCATGATTCATAAAACAAGAGCTCATAGAGATCTACTTTCAGTTAATCATATCATCCTGTCTCAAGTAACTAGTAAGATGATTAATAATACTTATTCTAAAGATGATCGACACTTTCTGTTAGTTTATAGGTAAGTTACACCTTATTTTCCACTGACGATTCGCTATACATATATGTGACTAATTCCATATTTGGTCTACTGATAATTCGTTTTGATAGTTTTTAATGTAATACTCAATGCCAAACCAAAACGTGGCATCAATGCTTGAAGCCACTAGCTTCTAGTCTGAGCCATGTTGGTAGATGCAGACCACTTGGTTGGGGTCCGCGTGACTATCACAATCAATGGTTGGAGACGCTGGGTGACATGGCTCAGAATCGATCACAATGGTGTAGGTGTATACACTCTTTTTCTTCCTTTAAACTATGAGATTAAAATCGTTTTATATCTTTCTTTCTACGTACTAATTCTTTCTTCCTGTACTATATCCTTATATGCAATCTTTTATGTATTACCACCACTGAATTAACTACTATGAATTTGGTGTTCATCTTGTAGTGTTAATGAGGTATGGCAACTTGGACCGATGCATATATGTGCCTGGTCCTACGTTGTAGCTGACTGACTGACTCAATCTTTTGTGAATGGTTCAAATCTCGGAGATATCCATAAAACAAACATACGGAACGAAGTTTTTCATAATTTTGGTAACTGTTGTCCTATCGTTCGCAAATTGAAACTGGTTAGAGCATAAGACGGCAAAACACGAAACTGGGATATCATTTGGATATGGCATGGGTATAGATATTTATAGAAGGTCTTTAAGGTATGCATGGAGTTATGGATTCAAAAAGTCGAGTCCATAGCTGTTTGTAACAATTTGTTACAAGTCAGCTTGAAAAATAATGGAATGAAAATTTTTAATTCGGCTTTTCATATTTGTTTTCAATTCTTGATTCTTTTACGCACTTCACAGTCGTTACCCTAAATGATGGCAAGCAGTGTCTTATGCAACTAAAAAAGCAATAAAAGTTGAATTTACAATGTTTTTTGGGATCCATTTTGAAGATTCCACCTTGGATCGAACCCAGGATCTTTGCTCTCACTACGACCCTCACACGTGTTTTGTTTGATTTCGGAATTTCGCCTTTTAAGAGTTAGGTTTTCCTGTTTTTATAAGACTTATCAATATGTTATCGTAAATGATATATTTAAAAAGTTCATTTTGCAACCATTAAGTAGTTATTCACTCTTGGCTTGTATATTATTCGTTTAGTCATCTTTCTAAAAGACCGGCCTCATATAATTAATTTGATTAATTCTAAGTTTGTTTGCTATCCTATCCAGTGTATGTGTTTGTTCTTTCAACGGCGATAATATTTTAAGACACGTGTTTTAATACGAAGTCCAACAAATCTTTCCTCATAATGTTATGTAAATTTATGAGACAAATCCCAGTTAATATTTAAACTTTCATCAGTTATATGAAATATACTACTAATTTTGGTTGTGTGGGCGTTGTTCATCTGTTCTTTATATCATTGCTCACAATACCTAGTCAAAGTACAGATTTGAATTGCAAAGACGTTTTCCAGTGTGTGTTTTAATGCATAAATCTAATGTAAACAGATCTTTTGTCTGATACCTTAAATTTTGTCGTTTTACCCTCCGACCATTTTCTTCATGCATTTAATGAGTAATTATGACTTATTAATTACCATGATGTTTTAAAGTGGATATTTGTATAAAACTTTGTAATAGACCTATTTTTAATGAAAAAAAGCTAAGTTCTCATCTATTGTACTCTTTAGTCGGTTCAGAAGACAAGCAATTTAGACTTTTTTCCTGAAGGTGTTGCTTCAAATAGAGCACATCCATGGTAATCTGACAACAATTGAGTTAATTCTCGGCTAATGTGACAACAAACTGAAAGGAAACTAATCAACAATTAAGAAAGAACTACACAAACAAGTGGACGCTGATTCTAATGGAACTATATTTCAGAATATGCCCCCAAATGCCCTGGTACGGCCGAGAGTGGGGATAGTCCGCTCTTCCTTTCGAAATGCTCCCACACTGCTACGCGTATACAGCCTCTGCCAGGGAAGTCCTATTCATTGCCTTCTCGTAGCGGGGGTGTTGTTTACGAAGTTGAGAGGACGAAAAGCCAATGTCCGGTGCTTTGACCGGGTTGGTGGACATAGAGAGTCTACCTAGGGGAGTTGGAAAACCCTGATTCCAAACCAATGGTGCACATGGGCTCCAGTATCCTGAAGGAACAAATGGCGTATGAACCAATTATTGGTCACCGGCTACCATGGGACTGCATCTCCTTACGATGCTCTACTGCCTTGTGGATCAGACCTTTAGGTCGAAGGCTCCGGATGTGGCCTCCTAAGAAAACCACCTGCTTCGTTTTGGGCACCCGAGCAGTACCACAGCGCTCACACAAATCAAATGAGATTTGTGTGGCACATATGTAACTGGTGCCCCCTTGTACCAGTGTTTATATGTTCAATTAAATAAATAATAAATATGCGAAGTTATTTTTATTAATACTTCTGTAGATGAAAAATAATGGTAGTTTCTTTGTGAAAAACATATTCAGTCGATTAGTGTTAAAACAGAATTCGTAACATAAAATGAATCCACTTTGCTGTACTAATTAATTTCCCAAATTCGAGTACATAAACTTGTATTTGGTAAATGAAGTACAAGGAAATGTTGGGACTACGTATAAGCGAATAATTAATCATAAATGAAAACAATGCATGATCTTGGTTATTATAACAATAAAGTAATAGACTAAGGAAATAAATGGCAAATTTTAGTTCTTAAAATTTAAAGGAAACATTTATTCTTATATCAATTGATCCATTTTTTTATTATTTTAAATTCCATAATACTACACATGAAAAACATTAAATAGTCACTTCATCTTGCAGTTCATTCTGTACTTACAATTTATGATTATTTGACCTGATCACTGATAACCAAAATTAATCAAAAATCTAGTCACTCAGATGTGATATCCGAGTTTTAATGTTTTAAAAAAGATAAATTAACACAAATCAGTAATTTCAGAGTGATCATAAATGTGGTTATATTTACGGGTAATTCAAGTTGTAATATGACAATCAAGTGAACTATTTTTTTTCCTAACCAGCATTAGGGGATCGTCTTCGCTCACATAAAGCTAAAGTTGTAGTTTCTTAAAACATAAGTGGAAACTTCATGAAATTTAATAATTCTACAACTTCTACTACTATTAAATACAATATTTTAATAAATAAATGGTTTTTCGTCAGTATTGATATAGTCAGTAACTATTATTATGAATAGATAGGTTAATTACAGTGAAATTTATTGGTTGTCTAGTGAACAACTTCGAAGTTAATTCCCTAAACTCTTGTAAGTAGTCATGACTAATGAAGTTCATCAAAAGATAGATAGGGAAATTATCATTGGGAAAGGATGGCTCAGCATGATAAAATAAAATGTTGTAACAGAGATGAAATGTAATCGGAATGGTCGTGGAAATAAAAACAAACCAGTTGGGGGTAGAAGATTTAAAGGGAAGATGGAAGGTGAAGCAGATGGCTGTAAAGGAACAAGAGTATGAAAAAGAGAGAAAAATTTTAATACATTAAGACCATGGTAGAAGAGGTTGTACCAGTTTCTTTTGCACACAAAATTCTGGTTTTTCCAGATGTATGGCTATTGCTTCGGCAATGCAACGAAGTTGCAGTGTCTATATTTTGCTGTTCATTGACCTATTTCCGATTATGTAACATGGATTTAAGCCTTTATTATTCTTATCAAAA